AATACTTGTTATCCTCCAATTTGTAAAGCTCAACGAGGTTCTTCTTGTACGTAGTCCATTTCCCATCCTTCGGTCGAGCTTCCTTAACTTCCCTACCAAGACTTGGGTCCACATTAAATAGRAAGTTCTCTATAATCTCTTCCTCCGACCACTGACTCCGGCTGGCGTAAAGCTCCCACTTCTCCAGATATTCTTTGATACCATAACCCCTGAAGGTAGGAGGCTTTGAGGCCTTGTGCGTAATAATATAGTGATCCTTGCTCTCGTAAGAGAGTGGATGTGACTCCCCTGTCTGGGGGTCGAAGACTCGCCTGGGCGGCGCCCTGTCTCTATCTCTGTCCCTCCAATAGGAATCCCTCAAATTCTCTCTCCAGTCGTCTCTGTACCTGTCCGCTATGGTGTCCCTCCGCTCGTACTCGGGGGAGCGCCGCCTCGTCGCTTCTCGTCGTCCACTTGAGGTACCCGTCTTTAGAGCCTCCTGCGGCTCTGTCACAACTGGTTCGTCTCTCATGTCGGGCCCTCCGTCATTGGTTTGGTCAACCCATCTCAGCGGTGCTTCTTGCCTAATTCGTTCCTTCTGATCCCTCAGTGTTCGATCGGGCGATGCCCTGTACTCCTCTCCTGCTTCGCCCGTGGTCGGTTGTGGCCCCATCGTGTCGGGCTCCATTGGACCGCCGGAAGATGCAGTTAGGTATTCTAGCCAACTGTTACAGCCTGACCCTATGACAGTCGCTGCAGCCCGGACCTATGACAGTCACGGCAGCCCGGACCTGTTTCTTTATCACGACTCGCGTCCGCCTCCAATCTTAGCTCTCGACTGCCTTGATTACCACCTCCAGTATCCCGTACCGGTCGCAGATCTCGTGTTCTCTCTCTATCCCAAGAATCCCTGTGTCTAAGTAACCTCTCCTTCGGGATCGGTCAACAAGGCCGTGCCTGTCCGGATCCACAGTATGCCCGTGATAGGACCTCTATCCTTGAGACAGATTGCAATCCCAAACCTAGCCAATGTCTCCTGATCAACACTCCTCAAAAGTCCCCGAGTGTCTTTCTCCGTCCTCCTTGCTAGTTCTTCTAGCCCTGTCTGAATCGGTTAGCCCGCTAAAGGCCCTCCTATTGTCGCCCAATGTCGCCCATCAACCTTTTTAGCTTCCTCTATCCTTCCAAGAGCTTCCAATTTCTATTTCCACTACCTTATCTCCTCAACGGTTACGAGGTCATCTGTCTAACAGCTGAGGTAAGTTAGTGCTATAACGACTTGTAACCTCATCGCCGACCGCTCCAATATGTCATAAAATGTCTAAAGTCCTCATTACCTCCTCCTTCGTCTATCGCCTCTAAAGTCTTTATCATTTCCTTCCAGTACCGGTTGTGGGCGGCTAACACCCTGAGTATTGCACCATCTGTTACAACTCTCTCTAACTCTCCTGATTTCCTGGCTTCGCTTATCTTCAACCTCTCAGTCTCTCTGGTCGTCTCGTACCATGCCCTTATCCGAGACCGCCCGTCGAAGGGTGTTACTCGGAGTACGTATTTTATCCTCCGTCCTCCTTCTATTCCAATCCAAAGTCCTGTCCCCCTTGCCTTACGTAGGGCACGGCGGAAACACTCTGCCTCCTCAACTATGCACAGTCTGGTATGGAGCTGGAGTTCTATGATCACTAACACTAATGGTCCATCCAGACTTCCTACCACATGTAATGAGTACCAATCCGCCGTGTGTAGTGCAGTCCCGCTCATGTCATGTCGCTACTTCCCTGCGTTACTTTGTCTTCCGTTGTCTCGCTTTCTGCAGATCGCTTACTAGTTTCTTCTCGTGATACGCTTCTAGCCTTTACCCTTTCCAGAAAGTCTGATCTCCACGCCTAGATAATCTCTCTTTCTTCCCTAAACAGATTGTCTAACTCTCTTGTCACGAGTTCAGCCCTTGCAACTTGCCCTCGTCTTGACACGACCAGATCTCCCTTAACTTGTCCCCCAACTTCTTTACCTGGTTCAAGAGTGGTTCTTTAACGC